TGAATAAAATCACTGGGTGGAACATGCATCTAACAATTCATCTTTTACTGATACGGCTCTCAATAAATTGTCTGTTCCCAAAGTTATAAGATTGGAGAAGCTATTATCAGAACAGAGCATTTTATTTCAGATTAAACCATACAAATCTCAAGGAGAGCAGAAGCTGGCAAAGAAAAGTCCCCTGATATATATCTTTTAATTAACATAGCAAAACATTCCTTTCTGTATGCAGGTAAGTCATTTATGCACAACTCACTTGGGTTTCTCATCCTTTATCACTAAAAACCTTTTTTTTTTTTTGCAAGTTGGATTTATTTGGAAAAAAAAAATTTGAACTAGTGAAGTGTATCGTATGTATGATGAGGGAGTTTGGGATGTGTAGCACTGAGAGGACAACAGTCATTTCAATTGCACTAATTCTTCCGCAAAGTGAAGTGTAAAGGTGACTCCATCTGTCTTACCCAAGTTTTTCAACATTCACTTAAAAGATCCAAGTTTATTTTCAGTATGTATATCTATTTTTTTTACAATGCTGAGTTACCAGCCCTAGACATGTCAGTCTCTTAGGGCCTTACCTGACCTGTCAGCAAGCCAAATGCAAACCATCGCTCCGTTTTCTTGGCATCGTGATTCATTCCCCAAAGCACGAAGCAGAAGCAGGAGTTCAGGCCCAGTTCAGCCAGCACCTGCGTGGACAACTGACGTGCCACAAGCGTGAAGTCACCCACTGCCTGCATCTCCTGCAGCTCCCACAGAGTCTCTTCCAGCCCTCAGGCTCGGCTGGCAGCCATATAGGAAGGCTGACTTATTAAAAAGCAAGCTGCTGAAAATCAAAGTAACGGCTTAAAGCAGCTTAAAAATGAACATTACTGTCAATATCCATAGGACTACATTCGATGAGCAATCTGAGGAATTGCCTTGAAACCTTTTTGGGAGACAGACTCAGTGTACAGGCACATGTTGCACACCACACAGTCATCTAGAAACTCAGATTACTGTACTGCAAGGAATTCTGCCATTTCAGACACTTTTTTTGCTGCCTGCTTCACTAGTTACCTGAACTTGGATGAAGGTTAGATTTTCACCCCAGCAACTGAAAGGAATTTTGACTCTTCATTACTGCAGCATCTGAGTATTCATGACCTTTTATTAGGTGTATAGTACACAAAGTCTTTAAAAATGGCTGGCTGAACTACCAAGGTACTTTGGATGTTAAGGATGTCAAGCCACAATGTTTACTCACGCTTCTCACGTAAGAGCTAGAAATTTAAATATTGGTACCTGTTTTTAATAAAAGTTTGGTATCAAGCACCTTTTGTCTTCTTCCAGAGGAGCTGCAATTGCGGTGAGGTCCTGCAGAGCAGCCAGTAACAGACTCTGGAGTGAAGGATGGTGAGGCTGTTGGTGAAGCTGTTTATAAAGTGACCTGAAGGATCAATTTAACCCGGTAATGAGGCTTCACAGACCAACAACCAGAAGCCCATGACTGGGGAAGAGCCACCAGCCCTCCACACTCCTGTCCTGGCCACTACCACAGTCGGGGACAGAGGGACATCAGCTTTTTTTGACTACTGACAAATATAAACTCTTACAGGGAAAAGTAATCTAGGCACCTTGAACTCAGGAGAAAACTTTAATACTGTGTCTCAGCACATCCCATACATATTTAGTTTGCCCTAGTGCTCTTCCTTACTGCGTCATTCTTCCCACTTGTTAGATTTGGGACTTCAGTGACACCTGGAAAAGTGAGAAGCTGTGTGAAGCATTATTAGCTTGATTATTTTTTGATATCACATTGAATGCTCCCTCTACTTTTAATATTCAGAATTGGCTAGCACAATTTGGGTGGGGGGGCGGGTTACGTACACGGAGCAAAGAGACCATGAGGATGGTAATAGGTCTGACTAAAGCAACAGAATGCACTCCAAGGATATTCAAATTTGTTTTAAAGCATTTCTATGACAGACAACTTTTCTGTTAAGTATTCTGCGAAACAGTTTACAATATTTTCTATTTCATTTTTATTACAATTTAAAAGATTAACTAAAAATACCCTACCAAAAAATGAGATCAGCGGAGCAGTCTGATTCAATTGTATTTATTCTGAATGCTCCACAAAATTAGGACATAGTTAATCAGCAACTGTGCTTAATTAGTAAGAAACCTATTTAAACCTAATGATGCACATGGCCAGGGTTGCTGCTGCTTAACAGAGACAGTAGTTCTGCTTAACTGGGATGCTTTCAGGTGATAAAATGGTTGAAACCGATGCTTCGCTCTGCTGTTTCAGGCTCAGGGTTGTTCTCTCTCTCCATCCTGCTGGGAACATTTTGCAGTTGGAGCTGACATAGCACCCAAAGGGCTCCCTCGCTGCCGCCTTTCACCGCCTGACTTGTGCCTTCAGCACCAGCTCTTCACTGCCAGCTGCCCTACTGCAGGACAAATCTGCCATCTGAGGACGGGCACAACTTGGGTGTAAGGTTTGCCGCCAGCTCTGTTGACTTGAGTGTTGAAATGGTGCCTTTCAGTAGTTGGAAGGACTTTGTCATCAGCTCAAAGGGTTCCGCAGCACAGTACGGACTTACCTGCGACACCCACCACAGATCAGCAGTGGTCACAGCTGCCTGAATGTTTTCAATGAGAAGTTTAAGAAATTTGTGACTCCTGCTGCTGTGACTTCTTCCTCAACAAACATCTGCTGATTTTTATACACTGTATTAACACTACCATGCCTGATAGCCGTTCAGTAGCCTGTGGGAAACAAGTCAGAAGCCTTAGCTCAGTTCCTTGAAGAGCCTTCCTCTCACTCAAGCCTTCTGTTGGCAGCCTCAGAATGAAAGGATCACCGAGAGACTCAGATGTTTTCTTAAACCTGCAGACGATCTCCCTGAATGTCAGCACTGTCACCCTGCCGGGCAGTGTAAGGAAGTCTGCAAATTAGCTGATCTATCACACAGAAATAACACAAATTGGCTCAAAGGGTGGCAGTTTCTTGTGACCATTAAACGCACTCTGAATAACTAAGAAAGGAGGATTTGTAAAGACGGCATTTTAAACAAGATACCAAAGCCAGACCAAAGTTTGCACGGTACTCAGCACTTGGCAGAGTGTCGGTGCAACACGAGATGGCTGCACTTCCATCAGCACGGAGCTTAGTGCCGCAGCAGAGTCCCTCAAATCTAACTAAAGTAATTAATTGTGCCCATGGACTGAAACTAGACCTGTCAAACGGTACGGTGTCGGTACAGTCAACACTCAGGGTCAAGCAGCAGAACAACATTGCAGCCTGTAACAGCGTGAGCTGGGAAGATAACACAAGCCTTGGAAAAACATGGAGAGGGACGTAGCTCCAAGCTGCCTCACAGATCAGCAGCTATTCTCCGCAAAAGAGTGAAATATGAGGGACCACAGCAAGCTTTTAGTAGCTGGAAATACATTAATTTAAGGGCAGTATAAAATTGCTCTACCGATCCCTCTTTAGCTGAACTTTCTTACCATACTCCTTTGCACCTTTGTTGATTTCTTCCGGCTTTTCACATTCAAAACACTCCCCCGAACCAATGCAGGCATTTCATGAAAAAGGCTACGGTTTGAAACTGTGTCTGCACTAGACAAAAGTTTCACTGGGGTTTCATGAGTGCAATCCTGCTAGGTATCGATGTTCTCAGTGTAGGCTGGTGGGATGACAACAGAATGGCTGAGGCAGAAAAGACCAGAAATGAGATGAGCCACAACAGCAAGTGGAAGAAGGGAGGAGCAGGAAAGATCAGTAAGCACATAAGGAGAATGGAAAACAAGAAGGCTTTGGGGAGAAGAGGAAAAGAGAAGAGTGAGAGAGTAGAGAAATTACACACCAGCCCTGAACCACCTCAAGAGCAGGAGATGTGATTCCAGGTGGTTGGTCATTTGCCCAGGGCAAAGGTGGCTTGGTGTAATGTGACAGGCTGTAGCGACTGGAAACAGGAATGCACATGCACACACACTTAGGGTACCCATTTAGAAGTGAGGCAGGACTGCTACTTGTCACTGTGAGTATGTCTGTCTGGCAGGGAATACCCATGCAAGGTGATGCAGCCCATCTTGTGGCTTTTCAGTACATCTTTAGAAAACACTTTGCCTCTTTGATTGTCTTCTGTTCAATTGGATCCAAAACCTTGTCTCCCCTACTTCCAACAGAGAGACCTGCTGGAATGCATGGGGGAAAAACCAGCATCACTTCAGTGGTATGGTTTCACTGTTCAGGAAGCAAAACAACACAATTATACATTTTAAGAGAATGCTATGTCCCAAAAAAACCCCAACCCCAGCCTCTCATATTCTTACAAGATTCCTGTCTGACCCAGCAGATTTCACAACCTCTACTTCCACGGCCTTCCTACTGCTGGTCCTTCTCACTTGCAGTGAAGGTCCCCAGGGGGGCAAGGAGACGAAATCAGTTCAGCCAGAACGTTGGCCCCTCCAGCCACGCAGGTGAAGTAAACAGTCTGACCAAGGCTCACTGTAAAGCTAAGGGACAGAGGATCCAGATACCCGACCTAACACACAGCACCTTGCTCGTAGCTAACGTATGAGCTGACCACGAAGAATAAAAATGCCTCCTCTGGAACGGCTGCAATAAAAGCTTGAAAATGCTGTCACACAAAAGATCTTTCTGCTAATAACAAACATGGAATAATCTATATCTGTAGTGTAAAAGCATGAAAACAACTGAACAAGATCAGCTCTATGCTATCGATTTTCAGATAAACAGCCAGGTCTGAGAGCGGCTGCAAGCACAAAAGGAGTAGAGCTGGATGGAAGGTTAAACGCTACTTTGGCTCTGCTGCGACCCTGCTGGTCCTAAGTTCCGTGAGGATTCATTATCAGAACTGTAATTTGGTTACCACTACAACAGTTTCAGGCTTCCTAGCAGCAGCTTACTGGAGCTGCTGAGGTTAAAGAGAAATTTTTCTTAAGCTGTTTGAATGATCACTAAACATGATTGCTAAAGAAGCAAACTGTCAAAGTCGTTTCATTTATTTCTGAATATCACAGCTGTACAATTTTCATACATACAGCAGGAAATGCACATTGGTTACACAATGGCATTTGGCTGCATTTCCAAGTATAATACAGTAAGTGCAACTCCACTTAAAAATGTACATTTATACAACTTAAACAAATTAAGGATTGCTACACTACTATCTGTGACAGTATAAAGCTTCATTTATGTTAAGTCTTGTTACTAAACCACTTCCTGGTTAAATATAAAACATATTCAATCATTTTAAAATGGCCCTTGTGGTACTTGGCCAGCATATAAAATATTTGTTGTGTAAAATTCAACCATTAACTTTTTTTTTTTTTTTTAAATAATCCCCTAAGCCTATTTAAACATTTTGCTATTGAACTGTTTTACTGACACTTTGTAGCAGGAACCAAATTTTACCCTCCTTTTGTTTGCTCTTGCACTGCTTATCACTGAAAGAAGTAACATTTGTGATGTATTGCATCTTTATTCCGATACAACCAGATGGCTAAACTATTTAACAATTTTTGCTCAAAAGGTAAATAACATTTTTGAATAAAGAAAACAAAATTACATTTCAGAGATATTTGTCATCAAAATTTTAATGGGTAGAGTGCTACCAGCACTGGGAAAAAAAAAAAAAAGTATTAATTTTGTCTTTTAAGACACACCCGAATATTCAGTTTAAACTCTTATAACTTTACTTTTGGAATACATTGGTCCACAGACCACAGTCTTGTTACAGTTTACCAAATGAAAAACAAAATTGCTTATTGCCGTCCCTATAACAGGAATGGTTCAGTTTTAAACCTCCTTTAAAAATATACATTTTACAATCCTTTCACCTCAACAAAGGTGACATTGACAATAAATACACTGGTTTGGTGGTTTCATTCTTCTTCGCTACGAAAAGTCTACAAACTACCTGTTGTAGGCCCTTTCTTTTTTAGACTTCTCCAATGCCTTGTCCATAGTTTTCTCGTTTTCTCCTCTGCATTTGGGGCAGTACCATTTGCCCTTTGGTTTATGATTGAGTCCCACGCAGGAAAAGTGAAACCACTCAATGGGGCACTCATCGTTGTCGCATCCTATCATTTCTCCATAGGAGACTTGGTTGCACAAGCAGTATGTTGGCTCGTTAGGGTCAATGGGAAGGTCTGGGGGAGAAGCTTCCCTTTCTGCTTTAGCCTTGGATCGTTTCTTCTTCTTGGACGTTTTTGCTTTCTTCTCCTTTGGAGTTCCTGAGGTGATGTCATCGTGATCGTGATTATTCGAAGCATTTTCTCGATTCTCATTATTTCTTTGCCGCCTCGACCTCTTATTGTTGGGCTTTTCGGCCTGGGTGATTGTCTCATTCTTTGACTTATCTTGGCTGGCTTTCCCGCTGTTTCCAGTGGTATCATTAGTCTCTTGACAAGTCTCAAACAGTTCCACGTGGCTGTCCACTTGCCTGGTTCTGTTCTCAACAAGCTCCACCATCTGACTGACGATTTGGATCTTCTCGTCCCCCAGTTCCTGACTCCGAATCAAGGCTCTCTGTATGCAGTGCAACATTCTCCTCTTCTGCACTGCATCTGTCTCTCGTTTAAATTTTTCATAGTAATCATCCAAGTCCTTCAGAATCTCTGCAAGGAAGAAGTTAAAACTATAAATATTTTTTACAAGACTGGCGAAACAAAGCCTTCTCGTATCACCCCTTCCGCGCGGCAACACCTTTTCGTAACGTGCAAAGCTGATCCAAGACAGATTCCCTGAAGCTGGGATCTGACAGGGGACTCGTGACTCCAGTGGATTATTGTTGGATTCTAGTCGGTCCCGCAGGAACAGAACACAAATGCAGATTTAGAGAAAAAAGGGACTAAAAAGTTTAAGATTTAGAGAAAAAAGGGACTAAATTTATTTTCATGCGTGCTGACAATTCTTCCCTTTAAACTCATCAGTAATTAAAAAGAACTAACTAAACAGATACACACACACACCCCATCAAAAGTTCCAAAATTAATTGTAAAATCAGAGGGGAAATTAATAGATTGTTTTCCTGGACACTTCCTGTATAACATCATTAATATCTTCAGTGAATGACTGAGGGTGGGAGAAAGAGTGGGACAGAAAGAAAGCACAAACCAGCGTAGAAATCAGGCGCTGAGTTACTCAATCATCACACCTGACAGCTGATGCAGAAGAACTCCAAATACACGGGGCTAGACCCTAAGCTACGGCAAGTTTTGTGGGGAGTGTGAGAATGTGTATTGGCATACCCTGAGAGGACTGTGGGAACTGAAGGGATACATGTCTGGAGATATGAGAAGCACCTGCATCAACAAGGCCTGAGAAAGGAACCTTGACATGTACCCAAAAGATGTACCCTGGCAAGCAAACAGGAGGGGATGCAGGCAAAGTCCATCAGCCAATTAGGGGCATGTGAACTGCTCATGCTGCGAGTGAAGAGCCAAGAACATGTTAACGGGTGTGGGTGATTTCATTAGTTTTGGGGTATAAATATAACTGTATTAGAACAAATAAATGGCTTCTTGCTTGATCATATTGATCGTGTGGCAGAGTCCATGATTGAGTTCCCGCAAAGTTTCACCCGATACGCTGAGTTCTTGTTGCTGAAAATGTGAGGCCACGTAAATCCCCATGACTACAGAATCAGGATTACAATGTCCAAGATGTCTAGATGACTTCCTTCCTCCCTACACTTTCTGTAAAAAACCTGTTGCTCACTTTTCAAAACACAGCAATATAATCTTAATTAAATATTTACTGCAAAGAAGGAGATGAAAAAATTGGAGGATAACGTTGAAGATGACATGCAGCAACTGGAGCAGCGAGAGCTTCCGATTTAAAATGCTAACACTGAAAATATGTTAGATCCTGAACTACACTTCAAGGATTGTTCCAACAGCGTATAAGAAAGAACACTGCACGAAAGTGTTTCAAGAATAGTTCTAAAAACCTAGTTTTAAGCAGATGTTTTTGAGTTTCACTACGATTCTCAAATCAACTCAAACATACAGGACACTCAGCGTGTCCATACCAAGTCCCCAAAAACATGCAGAATATTTTTCCTGCATCTCCTTTCTTCTCTGATTTTTCTCCTTCTCACAGGTTAGAACATTCTGCCTTAGAGAACCAAAATATACTAAGATATAAAATCTAACCTCAATTCACCTAACAGAAACCAGGATCGCGTACACATGCAAATGGCATTACCAAAACTGTCTATCAATTCCACAAACATGAACTTACTTTTTTTAAACTTTTTTTTTCTTTTCATAAGAGAATGAGGTAAGAGCAATTTACACATCCAACTAACAGTTACCCTGTGATTTAGGTTTTTGTCTTGCCTGGGTAGATTTTTTGAACACACACATTCCAAACTTCTTGTGAAGAAGTGGAAAGTTTATGCAAGTTTTACTTTAGTTTTTAGAACTGCAGCCTGTGCTTCTCACACCAGTTAAGCACGACCCGTCAGCAGGTACTGCAATATAACCTATCTGACCAAAATTAGTGTTTCGATTTGTTATTAACTCTCTTAAGCAAATGCCTCTCCTCTGGGGGGAGGGAAAAAAAGAAAAAGAGAACAACCAAACCCACCCACCAAAAACAAACAAACAAACAAAATAAAAACACAACCACGCCCAATAAAACCACCTCTGCCACCACCACCAAAAAAGCCCCAAACGCAGAGAAGACACAGCCTTCAGGAGGACTAAAAAAACAGCATTAATTATTTTCAATGGTGAAATGCAGAAGTTTGTAATGGTCTGAGTTTTTGGTACATGACTGATGCCATCAGTTTATCTGAATTTGTATGTAGGCATCTTTCATGGAGGATACTCTCTCTCCTGATACCACAAAGCAATTAGTGACTTAAAGACTTAGGCCAGGCATTACAAAGACTTCGCTTCTGGTACCGTACATACACATTAACAGCACAGCACCTCCTGAAACTGCTGTGTGTGCCGTGCGGGGGAAACAGCCGCCTGCAATGATCCTGGAATGCTTCACAGCCCCGCCGAGCCCCCCCTTCGGGCACCCACACGGTTAACAGGCAAGACACGGACCGAGATGTGGGCACCCACACGGTTCACAGAGATGCGCCTCTCCACAAGCACACGCCAGCAGAAAGGGCTCCTCGGCGCCGGTGTCGGAACCGCGCTGCTCAAGGCGGTGAGTGCGGCGGCCAGGAGGGGCAGCAGCAGCCCGGCCAGGA